TAAAAAAATCCTTGATATAAAAAAAAATTGAATATTATAAAATCTGCAGAATTGAATTATGGAAAATCCGTTATTAAAACCAAAACAACTTTTATGAAGTTTAAATTCGCAGGCCTGTGTAATGAGCCGTAATGACTCTATTCTTGTGAGGTTATTATGAGTAAAATATCTGCCTTTATATTTCTTCACTACTTAGAAATTAATACGTTAAAATTATGGTATTTTCAAAGAAATTGCGAACGTACAATAAAACCTATTAATCCACGTATATTAAATCATACATAAATCAGGTTTGTTTGTGTCTTGTACAATCTACAAACTAAAGTAAAATTTAAACCTACAGAAAGTATTAGGTACGATATGTTTACAACATGTTTTTGATTGCCAGCCATTTAAACTGAAACCACTGTTTCCAGACAAATAAACGGACTATTACAAGTTTTTCAAGTAGTAATATTAGTGTCAGCCCACACTATGACATTTTAAAACTTTTTTCCTTCACAATAATCATTATCTGATGTGCAATAACATAAAATAAAAAAAAACACACAATCCCTTTGAATTGTGGGTCGAAACCTTAAGATCGTAATTTGTTTACAGCAACGTGACTTTACATGATACTTATAGTTATGTCTGAAATGGCAGATTGGAAACGCAGTAAAATTAAACTTATACGAGAAAGTGTTCCTAATGAAGATAAAAGTTACGAGAGCTCGAAGCAAAGCGATTCTATCTCCCAAAATATATATAACACACATTTTAGATCGTATTATTTCAATAAATTTTCTGCTTTAATGCCAATGGTCTAGGCCTTTTTTAGTTCCGTAAGTGACTTCTTGGTTTCTCTGTGTTTATTATATCTTATTACTATATGGCCAGACAATCAAACATTTGGTACAAAAGGATGTACGTTTTATTGATGTATTGTTTTTACCCATCAATATATTCATTTTATGTAACATCAGTCATAGTCATAATCTAAAAATGTGTAGCTTCATCTACATCTGTTGCTAATAGACCACCCCAGGTTGTCTGTGTATCATATTGCTTTACTGAATGTCATATCGTCTACTATAAAAAAACTAAATCAAAACGTTCGGTTGTAAGCCTATTTCGTAAGTAGAATGCTGCTATAAATTTCACAATAATGTTCAGTCTTCTTGAAATAAAATATTTTTTTACCTAAAAGTAGATGATTATATAAGTTACGTTTCAGTTGCACGAGAACAACCTGGATTGATCTAGCTCTAAGCTATTAGACGGTCTAACATTAGGTTTAAGCTGTTGTAGCCTTACATAAATCATTTGAATCATAAATGAGTCAGGTAGCATTCTAATATGTTCTAAAGTTCGATTTACGTTTGGGGACTGTGTAAGAGAAGGTAATTTTGTGTTTTATTCCAATAGTTAACACGGTGTTAGCTACGACATGACACATTGCCATTTTCTAAGTTATATGGATCTTCTACTTAAAATTTTATTGATACAGTCAGTGTAATATGTTGTTTAAAATGTTAAAAATACGAAAGAATAATCATGTCTTCTTTAACTATTACGAGTGGACCAAGTCCAAACACAGTAAAAAAGCATACATTACGATACTAAATGTGTTAGTCTCCACAGACCCATTCAGGCAAAGAGAGCAGTCAACATCAAGACTCATCAGTCCACATTTGTCCAAAGCTCTTCATCCAGGTTCCATGTTTAAGGCACCAAGAGAGCTAATGCCTTACAATCACACCTGTGATCTGAGCCAATGCTTTACATTCATATCCGTGAGCTGTAGTCGGCCATGAAACATTTCAGTGTGATGGATTTATGTGCCTAAAATTTTAATTTATCTCCAAAAGTGAAGAATTTTGTATCAGATGTGAGGTTTCTCTTCGCAACACATTTCATTTCAAATTGGCTAAGGAGTGATTACTTTTGGATGTCCAGGTAATCCTACCATATCAAAGCATCCAGTTATCGTCCATTTTGTTAACGTAAATACAAAATATAGTAGATTTGGGTCTAAAATATCTCCGACAATCAATCCACGCTTGTTGCTTTCAATAGCTATTTCCCTTTGAAGTTATAAAAACCTTTAAAAAGCTAGCTCCTTTTTGAACTCCAACCGGTGCAGATGTTGACTCTTAAGCCTAGGTGCAATTCACATCCACTTTCAATCGTGACGAACATGTAAGAAATTGAAGTATTATTTTCCAAAGCATTCCGTTAGATAATATAGGAGCTAAATGTTAATATAAATGATTAATATGAAAAAGAGAAAACATTTCACTAGAAAAATTGGATACTCACCTGCTTTCAATGAGGAATTTGTCACCACTCACTTCTCTGCAGACTCCCTTACTCGAAATGGTACCATTGTAAATGTAAATTGGATCCTGGACTCCCTTCTGGAACCAGCTGCCTGACCATCTGTCCGGAAACTGACAACTACCTAGAAAGATAATCATTTGAAATTAAAGGCCAATTATAATACCTAAAACATGATTTTTCATTTCCATTTATAGAATATTCGCATGGGCACATGTCTAGAATCGAACACCATTCCCGTTCACTCAAGCACAAAGAAATCGTACCGTTTTCTACTGATTATGAATTAAACACACAGAATTTAAACAATCAGCATAAAACAACAAACTGGAGCACACGATGTTCCTTCTTTAACATCTAATCCAGGGCGAGAAAATAATTAATTCAGTAGCAGTTAGAAAAATTATTAACAAAAATCTTAAATGACTATCAGTTAGAAAAATTAATAGAAAATCCATTATTGTCCATTATTCGAGACAAAGATTAATTATCACCTACAGAATGTTATTACTGGCAACAGAACACTTGTGAGATTCAAGGAAAACAGCGAATGTTGATTGTTGTATCACTAAGCAATTGTTATTTCTGTAACTCTCACAATCTGACAAAAAATACATATTTGGCCCTATGAATATCAAATACTTTAATTTAGTGGACCCACAGGACTACATAATACGTTTTAGCTGATAATTTCTCTTCATGCTCTTACTAAATAGAATAAACAACACTATCGTGGCAAAGCTATTATCTATCTGTTATTTAATGCTAATTTTACAAGGGATTAAATGAAATAGACACATCATAATTCATTTAGTTCTCACGATAAGGTTGTGGTAACTGGACCTCCATCGTTCTCATAGTTAGTAGTCTATACGGTCTCTTAAGATTACTTATTATTTTCTAACAGGAGAACCCGGGATCGAACCCTCGCTCTGCTACCTCTTAAAGTCTTACCTTTAAAATGACAGCGGAATTAACAGTAGAAATTTAGATTTTGTTGTTGTTGTTAAGCACAAAGGTTTTTAGCGGTGTGGAAATTTAGAATAAACTAATCAGTAATTACTGTTTAATAAAAATAATATAACAAATAGTAACTAGTTATTAAGTAGACAAGAGTGGTATTATAAGATGCTCAAGTACTTTCTTAGATTATCTTATTTAAATATCTACAAAAAATATTGAATGTAACTATTTGGGCTTATAATTTCCAAAACGTTTCTATATGAATAGTGCATGCTTTTTATTAATAACAGACGTAACAAACTGTAACCCTCAATAATTATTACTACGATTGACTAATTTAACCAAGTTGGTTTTTAAATATTATTTTATAAAAGTACATGTAATAGCGTCAAGAGTATAGGGAGACACTATCATTAATAAAACACGTAGGAAAACTTGCTTCGCTTGTACGTACTTACTTTCAATTCTTTCAGATTTAGTTGAATTTATGTGCTACATCTATTCTAGCCATTTTATACGAGCCCGAGAGAAATGTAGGAGTGGAATCTCCGGGGTACTCATAACCCAATTGGTCTTCCTTCCCAACATGGAAAAATCAAAGGATGAAGATATGTTATAAAGTTCAGGAGGAAGATGTTGTCTGTGAGTGATGATGATCCACTAATTTTACCTATAGCTAGGGAAAAAAACGAATTCACACTTTCAATCCCTTCTTCAGCATGCAGTGAGTGATCTGGGGCTATGACCCCTGTAATTTGGCATCACTGCTAGTGTTTAATAGAAACTGCTGCTCAGATCACATTAGAAATGAGTTAGTGTCTGTTGTTTTTAGGACTAAGAGTGAATGATGCAAGCGTTGGGCTAACAAGCTGACTGGATTTTAGAAGCTCGAAGGAAAAGCTGCATTTGTACTGTACTTTCATATTTTGTATTTTTTGTAAAGCTACTTTTGAACCACTGACCAGACGGAAGTCAATTAATCAGCACCGCCTTATAATCCACACAAAGGGATCGACAACCTATCTTATAAGGCTTAAAGTGCGAGGAATATTTTGTGGTATGCAAGGATTCTAACCGGGTTAGTCAGATCCGAAATCAAGTAATCTACTTCAGGGTCAACTCACGACCTCTGTAGCTCTAGCATTCTGTCTTAGTTATTGCTACTGTATGCCTTCTGTTATGAAGATCATTACGCAATGAAACAATGAAGATATCTCAGGATAGTGAGACGTGAAAAACTGCCATTTCCTTGATGAACTGCAGCTGTCACTAGCACAGTACGTATTCAAAACGTCACGTCAGTAAATCCATTATCTTGCAGCCAATAGAGCATCCACTTAAACGTCACGTCAGTAAATCCATTATCCTACAGCCAATAGAGCATCCATTGAAAAGTCACGTCACTAAATCATTATCTTGCAGCCAAAAGAGCATCCACTGAAACGTCGCGTCACTAAATCCTTTATCTTGCAGCCAATAAAGCATCCATTGAAAAGTCACGTCACTAAATCATTATCTTGCAGCCAATAGAGCATCCACTGAAACGTCACGTCACTAAATCCATTATCTTGCAGCCAATAGAGCATCCACTGAAACGTCACGTCAGTAAATCCATTATCTTACAGCCAATAGAGCATCCACTTAAACGTCACGTCAGTAAATCCATTATCTTACAGCCAATAGAGCATCCATTGAAAAGTCACGTCACTAAATCGTTATCTTGCAGCCAAAAGAGCATCCACTAAAACGTCACGTCACTAAATCATTATCTTGCAACCAATAGAGCATCCATTACTAGTACGATAGATACAGTTTTTATGTTTGTTACATCACCGACCATAGCCGTCGTATTTCCTCGTTTATTTCCAACGACATTACGTTAATAATGTGAACTACAGTATATAGTGGAAAATACTATCAACATTTAAAGATGTTAGTACAAAGCGTTCAAAGATTCAAGTTTATCTAAAAAGAAATTTAAGAGAAATATATATATAAAAGTTTTATTTCTGAGCGAATTTAAAAGATGAGGACGTTAATTATCTGATGACAGACAAAGCCAAATTTCACAGACGCGTACATGGAGAAGACACCGAACAAAACACTTGGCATCATCATCATCTGGCACTCAATGAGAGTTCCATTACGATGTTTACACACAACTGCGCCACCGTTTTATTATGCTGATCTGTTTTTTTCTATTTATAAATCAGTTCGTGTTTTAACGAATTAACTGTCTGATGACTTGATCATGAAACACTTACTTTTTTTACCAATTGATTCTTATCAGTAGAACTATCAAAACGTAGGAATTATGAACATAAATTGGAAATTTCTTATGAAAATTAAAACACAAACAACACGAAATATTTTTGTTCCTCAGCACAAAGCTTCGCAATAGGCTGATTATTAGGACTGTGTTAACCGAATGATTCAGCCCTTAATCTGAAAGTTATAAGCCTTTAAACCTATCGCTGAATTACAAGAGAAGGGCATATCAGAAGAAGATACCCTCTTTATGTCTACCAAATGAATGAAACCACACGGTTAAACATCCACATACGTGCTAACCTCAGGCATCGAAACCCGAATTTTAGTGTTATAAGCCCTCAAGCGGTGAGACACGAGGTGGGCTATGAAAGAAAGAGATACTCTCTTCATGCCAACTAAGCGCATGGGATCACACACACATGAATTTTCAGACGCACCTGCAAAACATAAGGGAGCATCTCGAACAAGGATGGATTAAGGGTGACTCGGGCCCCTGGCGGTAGCTCGACCATAGCCTCCATACTAACACTGACATCTTGCGCTATATTTTATTATTATAACGTACTGGTAAGTTATGCCTCCCTTTAATTCTGGGCCCTGGGCGGCCGCCTCGTACGGCCCTGTTCTCGAACGAATCAACCATACTTTTCGGTTTAATTTTATTTACTAATGTAATTTCAGATGACTTCTTCTATAAGGCACAAGCCTCTGTTACGTGATCTGTCACCAGAAGAAACCAGCTACCAGTTCGCCGAGTCTTTGGGTTTAATAATATCGAATAAGAGCTGAGACAACACTTTCATAATATCACAACTACAAAACAAAATATGAATATTATGTTATTAACACATTAAACTAGAATTAAATCACATACAAGAAGCTTTACAATGATTTCAAGTAAAGTAAATGTTTTATTATTAACATATCTTGGTCTAATAATATAAAGCCGTTTTAGATAATATACTAGTCACACATGTGGTTATAAAAACACTTTATGTGATACAATTATCAGTGGCTTAGTTCAAAACAATATTCTTCCCTGTGTCAGACAAGCAATGCAACAATGGCTTAGGTCAAAACAATATTCTTCCCTGTGTCTGGCAAACACACCACACTTCGTCTAAGTTTTCCTTCTTTCTTGATACTGTTTTTAAGTTAAGCCCCAGTCCGACGATGATCCTTAATAGGATCACGATGATTATCTAACTGATCCCAAAATAGTTTCACGTTACGTGTAAATATTTACAATTGTCTACTATGACATGATCAATAAAATAATATGTGGTGCGATCTCATGACTGAGATACACATAAGTAAGGGATTTCATTAAAATACGTCAGTGCTATTCTTAAAATGTCTTCCCTAATAAAGGAACTAGGAATGTAGAAACAGAAAGGATAAAACCAAAATGTTGCGTCAGTACAACTAAAATGGTCTATTTTAAAGATTGTGACAACAATATAGTCAAGACAAAATTGGTTTTTGAGGATTGTAACATCAAAATAATAAAAAAACTTTATTTTAGGATTGTAGCATTAAAATAATAAAAATAAAAAACTCTATTTCAGGATTGTAGCATCAAAATAACAGAAACAAAAACTTTATTTTAGGATTGTAGAATTAATATAGTCAAGACATAAATTTTATAAGGATTGTAGCATCAATATAACCAAAAGGGAATATTTTTCAAGATTTTATCAGTAATATAGTCAAAACAAATGTTGTTTTTAGGTTTGTAGCATCAATATAGTCAAGGAAATAATATATTTTAGAAATGTAGCATCAATATAGCCAATATAAAATTGTATTTTAGGATTGTAGCATTAATGTAGTTAAGAAAAAAATGTTTTTAGTATTATAGTATCAATATAATCAAGACAAAATATGTTT